AAAATGCTTCCCCCAGTCATATTTCAGCATACAGTATGGGTTACAGCGTGTCAGTATGAGCTGCGAGACCTCAGTATTACAATAAGGAAGAAGACAAGCTTTAAAAGATCAGGAGTTTGGGAGGTATCGCTCCAGTAGAACTGGAGTTACTATTACTTGGGAATTACCATCTCTCAAGATGGCCTATCCCATATATAGGAAAAAAAATAATTTTTTTTAAAGATATTTTTATCAATATAATGTGGGCCAAGAGTTATATACAGAAGAGAAAAAAAGGGCAAGGGAAGAATTCAAACTACATTAAATACCTAAGAACACATACATAAACAATGCATATGGAATGTTGCAAAAGTCTTTAAACATTTCAAAGCTACATTATACGCTAAAAATGCTTAATTATAGACAGTGAAAAATTCACTGTTGCAGTTACCTGGCAACAACCAGTCTGAGCATCATGAACAAACTTTATTACACTTGTGCTACGCAACACCAACCATACTATATGTAGGGTGACACACTGCACTGATTTATTACAGAGGCACCAGGTTCCTAGGCTAGTCTAGCGCAAAAATATAAAAAAAATACAAGCCAGGTTAATTTACATAGATGCATATACAGCACGACAGTCCCCCCCCACACACACACAGTAATTACGAAGTGGAACAGTCTGGAGAGTGAAGTAGTGGAGGCAGGATTCATACATAGGTACGATTAAGCTTTTGGAGTAGGGAGAGAGTGGACCTAGTAGCGATCAGCGAAGAGGGGGGTCAGGAGCTAGGACTCGATCCATCCAACCACAAACATGAGAGTACACATACACAAATAGTATATACATATACAACGAATGAAGTAAATACTGATTCTGTGAGTAATCTATAAGCATAATTCACACAAATGAGAAGCACAAGGTATGTTGTACCTAGCACTGCTGAGAAACAAGCTATGTCGTACTTCACACTGGTGAGGAACACAAGCTATGTTGTACTTCGCACTGGTGAGAAACACAAGCTATGTTGTACCTCGCACTGGTGAGAAACACAAGCTATGTTGTACTTCGCACTGCTTAGAAGCACCAACAGTGAAAATGATGCATGAATTTGCTGGGTTAAACGCCTAGCTCGCAAAAATCAACACGGGATTAGAAGCGGACGCTAAGTTAAGTGTATAATCTGGACGACACGGCTGGCAGGAATGATACAAGCTCACGAGCATGATGTCAGTTCTGGCTCAGGATGATAGGATAATACACTTCTAAATATACCCAACTGGCGCTGTAGCACGCCAGCGCCTGGATACTGCTACATCGCTCACCCTGGGGCTGCGCAGCACCTACTGACACAGCAACAAACATAGCTACAGTCACCAGAAAAACTACAACCATAACTACCACAATCACCAGCAAAACTGCTACTAAAATCACCAAACTACAACCATTAGTCACCAGCAAAACTACAACCATTACTACAATCACCAAACTACAACCATTAACAAAACTACATTACTACTACAATCACGAGCAAAACTACAACCATTACAATCACCAGCAAAACTACAACCATAACTACAAGCTAATGAGCCTGGGTTTAATTGCCAGAATGGACAAGTTTTATTACAAACATTGCCTAGAATAAGAATCAAACTGATACCAGAGCTCACTACTCGCATCAGAAATATTTCCTACCGTTCCTAAAAAAATAAATTGGAGAATTACGGGGTAAACGATTGATTCGATAAAAGTAAATATTCTTGGAAATATCTAACAATGATTGTAGCTATGATGGAAACACATTAGTGCAGAGCTAAACTTCCCTGCAGACCACGTGTGTAGACCTTCATCAACACACATACAAGTAAATGTGACATTTTACTGTAGGAATGTTTTGCTCTCCAGGAGCATCGTCAAACCTTGATGAACTTGATAATGCTCAAGCCAAACGATGTCTATCAATAAAGATTTCTTCAAACTGATTTTGTTTAACGTAGCAAAACTTGCTATTCCTTATCTAACCAAGACTTGATAAAAGTCCCAATGAAAACTTGCTCTGTACCGCTTCTTCTATGTATTATTGTCAAAACTGTAGCAACAACAGCACCATCATCACCACCGCCGCCACGTGAGCTACCAACACTTGTCAACGATATTCTCCTCCATGATTATAATAACTGTCAACAATATCACACCTCGTACAGCGTCTATTATGACACACACACACACACACACACACAGAGAGGACGTCAGGGTTAGAGTAAGCCTTGATTGACACAGAGAATTTCGGGAAAGTGATTCTGAAAGAGTAGAAAAACAGAAAATAAAAACCGGAGCGGAGCATAAAACAAATTTAAAACAAGCGAAAGAAGATAGTGAGTGACTTAGGAGTAATATCAAAATGATCTTGAACTGAAGGTTCACAACCGAGAGGACAATGATAGGCTGGCTAACAAGAACCTCTAAAATAACAGGTGCCAAGTAAATGATGATTCTATTAGTCATTTGTTCCGTCTAGACTAAAATATTCCTGTGCACTAACAGTCGCTTTTAAAGCAGGTAAAATACAACAACAGGAGAATGGAGAGAAAACTTTCACCGCTAGCATTAACTCTGTCATCACCTAAATTATTGGGGACGGCCGAAGTCCCTCGAAATGTATCCATGGAACACAGGAGAGAAAGATATATAGTTCATACCCGCAAAATTCTGGAGGCAGGCAGTGTCAATCCTCCAATGAAAAGCAGGGATGCCATGAGTACACAAACAGAATTTAGTAAGTGCAAAGAGACCAAGACTCTTTAACGCCTTTCTTTCACAAATAAGGAGAATTACCAACAGACTCGTATCTTAAAGATGGAACTGAAGTTTCTCATTGTAGTGAATCATGTACTTGAGCGCAGGATATACATGATATATACCAGAAAAGTACTCGAAGGCCTGGTACCAAATCTGCACACTGCCATAACAAACTGGAGTGAGAGATACGGAAGTGCAAAACAAACCCAGTGAGGAACAGGGGTGCGGTGGGCACAATAAGGGAACACTGTATCAACATCCGTGGCCACAGATTTTCCAACATCTTACCAGAAGATATCAAAAACACAGCTGGAACAAGTATAGAAGTCGTCAAGAGAAAACTGGACAACTAACTTCAGGTGCCAGGTCAACCAGGCTGTGATGGATATGTGGGGCAGTGGGCCTCCAGTAGTAACAGCCTGGTTGACCAGACAAGCACCAGACGAGCCTGGCCCATGGAGAGTAGTAAGAATCTCGAAACTCGTGAGAGGTACATCAAAGGTAAGGTAAGCTGTGATGCTTACATTAGACTGCGTGCGGCTAGTACCAACAGCCTCCTTGAAGAAGCAGTCAACCAGGAGCCCTGGTCTCGGGTGTGGCGGCGGCAGTGACCGCCAGAACTGTCTCCTGGTAGCACACAATCAGCCAGACACAAACTACTGGTTGAAGGTGTGTACCTGGGAGCCTAACTTCGTTTATTCAGCGGTAATTAAGCAGTCTGTCTTCTCCCTAATGACATGACCTTTACCTGTGTTTCTTAACAGACACAAATAGCCTCAATTCAGGAGCAAATAAGACATTTTTTCGTCTGCTTCTCTCTTCTCGCTTACAGTAGTGTGAATCATTAAGTTAGTATAAAGGTAGTAATTATCAATACAAAGAACCATATAGTGCTCAACAAGTGCAAATTTCCGTTCAAGAAAATAACATTTTGACCACGAGGCAGAGTACACTGTGTACCACCACTCATTCTGAGAGTGAATATACCATCACAACGGAAGTGCTACTCACCAGTACTCATCCTGTGAGTGAAGAACATACACAAGTTTAGTCATCTGCTGAGCTGCTGTGTGATGCTCACTGTTAAGCGATCTAAGTTGCACTATGTGCTGAACTTAATTACGCTTCTCTATTGAATTCGTCCCTAATCTTTTATATATATATATATATATATATATATATATATATATATATATATATATATATATATATATATATATATATATATCTTTCAACACATCGGCCGTATCCCACCGAGGAAGGGTGGCCTAAAAGGAAAAACGAAAGTTTCTCCTTTTATATTTAGTAATATATACAGGAGAAGGGGTTACTGCCCCCTTGCTCCTGGCATTTTAGTCGCCTCTTACAACACACACAGCTTATGGAGGAAGAATTCTTATCCACTTCCCCATGGAGATAAGAGGAAATTGACAAGAACTAGAAAGAAAATAGAAGAAACCCAGAGGGGTGTGTACATATATGTTTGTACATGTATGTGTAGTGTGACCTAAGTGTAAGTAGAAGTAGAAAGACGTGCCTGAAATCTTGCACGTTTATGAAACAGAAAAAAGAACACCAGCAATCCTACCATCATGTAAAACAATTACAGGCTTTCGTTTTACACTCACTTGGCAGGACGGTAGTACCTCCCTGGGCGGTTGCTGTCTACCAGCCTACTACCTATAATATATAATATATATATAGAGGGGTGTTAATGTTGCAGTTTAAAAACTAGTGTAAAGCACCCTTCTGGCAAGACAGTGATGGAGTGAATGATGGTTAAAGTTTTTCTTTTTCGGGCCACCCTGCCTTGGTGGGAATCGGCCAGTGTGATAATAAAAAAAAATATAGAATACATAATATATTATATATCTAAATTCCTTAAGGAGCTGGAAAAAGATCATCAGGGTAACTAGGGATCCCAGGGCAGCTAGTTTTCTGTTCCAGCGGCTCAGTGCGGCTGTTCAAAGGGGTAATGCCTGCTGTATTTTGGGCACACGCCCCAGCTCTGAGGAGCTGGATGAGATTTTCGCCTTATAATCGGTGATACACACGTAACAACATGTACCGTATGTGCCACCTTTATATCAATGTGTATCTCTTGGATCCTCGAATATATATATATATATATATATATATATATATATATATATATATATATATATATATATAATATATATATATATATATAAAACAAAAAGAGTTAAGTACTCACCCTTCCATGGCTTTCTGTGCGTCTCCTTTAACTGGACTATGGAGACTGGGAGAGTGGAGGCCGGATTTGTACTCCAGAGTAGAGGTCTTGGGCATGTCTGTAACAAGAGAGAGGACATTAATATCTAACCTCATACTTATCTGAAGCCACAAGTACATCTGTGTGTAGCACATATATTTACTTGATAAGTTCCTTAAATGTTACTGAACTGGACTGTGGTGCCTACGTTGCACTGCATGCTGCCACCATCAACAATTTCAATGATCAGGCCATAAACAAAGTATCCTGGGTTGCACCCAAGCAGCGAGGGTAGTAGCGATTTCAGGTAATCTATAGCAAAACACTGTATCAACATCCGTGGTCCCAGACTATTCAATCTGCTACCAATGGATATCGGGAATATTACCATAACAAGAGTAAAAATCTTTAAGAGGAAACTGCATCACTACCCCCCGTTAAGTGCCAGATCAACCAGACTGTGACGGATATGTTGACCAGCGGGCTGCCAGCAGAAACAGCCTGGTTAATCAAACAAGTACTTTGCAGCCTGACCTGGGGTCCAGACTGCAGGAGTACGAAAACTCGAAACCAGTCACAGGTATGTGTGTTTGTGTATTGAGAGAGAGAGAGAGAGAGGACGTGAACATTCTTCAAAATAAACCCTTTGATTACAATCTCTCTAGCGACACGCCTCTCTCTCTCTTCCTTTACGGCAACAAAACACACAAAAGCTCCTCTCAGCGCTCCCTCATCCATTGCTAGTAACTCGTCCTGCCAAGAGGTTTACACTACATCGTTTTCTAAAATCAAAACAAATCAATGAACACAAGAACAGAACATTGTTTTCTATGTAGAAGTATTTTTCTCTGACCACTGGAACTATCACGAAGTATACAACAGGTAGGTAAGTCGACCAATGTATATCATACTTATAGACAATGTTCCCATGTCTCTGATGGAAGATAAACAACAGACGTTACACACTGGAGGTCAGAAATCAGCTGTGTTGGTTGAGAGGACTTTAAAAAAGACGGGGCAGGAGGTATGATTTAACCCCCGCCCAAACGAAATACATGAATACATCTCAGGTGTCCTTGCTATATGCAAATGTGACAGGTTCTTCGTTAATGACTTAAATGCCCCTTACAGCTGTCACTTAAACATACGAGCAATTAATACCGATAAGATTAATACAAAGCTTGGGATGGAGCGGAAGCTGCAGCAAGAAGAGTGTATCCTGGTTGCAGCTGCTGCCACAGCAGGGGCTGTATTCTGTTTAATTCCTGTATTCTCTTGCAGCAGGAGCAGCAACAACCGAGAATGTGTTTGACTCACGAAATCGTATGACATGATTGCAAACAAACCATACCACAGGTGGGGTTTGAACCCGCGGTCAGAATTTCGAGATTCTCTGACCGCGGGTTCAACCCCACCCGTGGTATGGTTTGAGAATGTGTTCTCTTGCAGCAATAGCCGCGAGTAGTGTTCAGCCTGCTTTCTTGTTGCTGCAGCAACAGCGTGCACTGTTGTCTTACAGAAACAGCAGCGAGTACTGTTCTCTTGCAGCTGCAGTAATAGAATATTCTGCTGAGCTGGCCGCTGTGAATTTCATTGCAGTGTTAAACTTTATAGAACTGACGATAACAGATATTTCACTTTTATATAACATGTCCAAGATGTGTCAGCAAGTCAATGTGTAGAATGAGGTAGACAATGCAAAATCTTATATTAATTTTAAGAATAATAATAACAAAATTATCATTACTGTTCATTATTAAAGATGGTTTCTGATCAATGTCAACCAACCGACTGAAAAGTCTTGAGGTACGACAACGTCTTCAGGTATGAAACAAGAACACACGACAACGTCTTCAGGTATGAAACAAGAACAACGACAGTCTTCAGTAAAACCAAGAATACACGACAACGTCTTCAGGTATGAACCAAGAACACACGACAACGTCTTCAGGTATAAACCAAGAACACACGACAACGTCTTCAGGTATGAAACAAGAACACACGACAACGTCTTCAGGTATAAACCAAGAACACACGACAACGTCTTCAGGTATGAACCAAGAACACACGACAACGTCTTCAGGTATAAACCAAGAATACACGACAACGTCTTCAGGTATGAACCAAGAACACACGACAACGTCTTCAGGTATAAACCAAGAATACACGACAACGTCTTCAGGTATGAACCAAGAATACACGACAACGTCTTCAGGTATGAACCAAGAACACACGACAACATCTTGAAGTACAAACCAAGACTCCAGACACTCAAGTCGGATCCCAATAGTTACAAAAAAAAAAAAATCATCTACCTTCATTTACGTCTACGCTTTTGGGTCGCTAGCACGAACAGCCTCGTTGAGGAGGAGGATCCTTGTGGTCAGTCTTAGAAGGTTGGTAAATCGTTCGCAGGAACGCCTGAAGACACACAATGAAAATCACTGTTCTCTTCGATGGGAATGTATAAAAACCGTACAGGCCACACAGCGCCATGGTAATGGATTATAATCACGTTTGATACAAAGGTAAGGTACCTCCAATTCCCTTTAGCACCAAGGTACCTTTGTAAGTAGAAAAAAACTACGATCCTTCCTTATTAACAAGGCAATGTACTGTCACCAACGAGACTTCAAAGAGAGGCAATTTAACTCAAGCCACAACTTTTCTAAGAGGATCCAGCCTGGCAAAGACTCTAGCCTGGTAAGAGGAGGATCTGAATTAAATATGCCGCACTCATGAAAGGGATAAAAGACATGAGTGAAAGTCAGTGACAAAGACTGCCTTCAGAGCTTCAATGGAGGAACAGCTGTGCCCCGTCTCCCCACACTGTGCCTTCAACAAAATACCTCGGCATAGTGAAAATAACACAAGACACTTCTAAAACAACACAAGACACTGCTAAAACAACACAAGGCACTTCTAAAACAACACAATGCACTGCTAAAACAAGACAAAAAATCAGCAGAAAATAGGGTGCTTAGATAAGGACACTCATTATTCACGACATCCATTACATGAAAAGTGTCTCCCAAACTGGCTTTTAAGTCTTCTAATAATTACCCTGAACTGAACACAAGTGTTCTAATGCACAGTTCGTCTCTTTCATCACACCAGGGCACTAGTTATTTTATTACTCTTGAAAAGACGCAGAAAATCCATATTGCAAAGAATCTCAGCCTTCCTGCCCCAGTTCACACTGAATACAGGTGTATTTACAGCAAGGAGAAGCGGACTAATATGGTCTAAACTGTCTCAATAGTAAGGGTCGGCAAGCAAGAAACATCAGGAGGAGCCTCGCTACTGCTAGATGCCCGGCAGAGACAAAACCTGGGATTAGGCCGCGAGGGTGTTGACTCTCGGAACACACAAAAGCTAGACTCCAGTAATCCTGGTAACGGTCCAAAAAGGATCACTATCCATCCTTGTAAGAACGGAAGACTCTTAGCGTGGAACTATACCTGTGTAAACAGGGAGGTGCTGCTGATCACAGGGAAAGATACAAAATCGGCAAATATGAGCTTTAGTCATTGGTGCACTTGCTCTATCAGGATGGCAGACCCTTGGACAAATCTTCGTTTTGCTACGTGTCTTGGCTTTCAGTGCCACCTCTGGCTTTTTCTACCTCTAGACTACCTGTAGACAATTCAGGGGGTCATCGCCCCCGCAGCCCGGTCCTGGACCAGGCCTCCTGGGTGATCTGATCAATCATGCCCTAGGTACTGGCAGCTTATCCTAATATTTACATTACTGTTTCCCTTGTGGGTTTATCCCTTCCACTGATCAATGTTCATTAAGACTGTGTTACGGTTGCACAACCACTCGTTTAACCAATGTTTATTAATGTTATTGTTAAGTTACACAGACCGAGTCGCAGACCAGGCCGCAGGGGCGTTGACCCCCGAAACCTTCTCCAGGTATACACACCCACTCGTTAACCACTGTTTAGTAATGTTATTAAGGTTACATACCCACTCGTTAACCAATGTTTATTAAGGTTAGTGTTTAGATTTGCATATAAGTTCATACTTACAGGTTTAACCTGAACACACAACAACACCATAAAATATGTCAATTTCATGTCAAATTAGCAAGATTCAGTACATTACAGATCAGTGAGTATACAAATATCACAGCAGGAGATCATACAACACACAGGCAGACACTACAACAAATACCACTACATAAGGCAGTTTCATATCACCACCACTTCAGGCAGATCACTCAACAAATATCACAGCTACATAAGGCAGATCACTCTATAAATATCACATCAGGAGATCACTCAACAAATATCACAGCTACATAAGGCAGATCACTCTACAAATATCACATCAGGCAGATCACTCAACAAATATCACAGCTACATAAGGCAGATCACTCTACAAATATCACAACTACATAATACATCAACGCTCAATCAATGACAGGCGGCATCTAAAACTTCACTTTCTCCACGTCAGTCAGGCTGGTAGGTCATATGCGATATTTCTGGCCTTCAAACCTGACGTGGCCCGCTGTTACCCAGAGTGGAACGATAACCTTTCATCCTGTACCAAGAAAGGGCGAACCTCTGTTTAATAAACGGTAACGGCACACGCCATGACAACGGGGAGAGTTATGCGTCGACAAACGGGAATGGCTCCCGTTCCGAAAGACATTAGGCCTCTCTCCCCCTCCATAGGCCTCCGTTGTCCTCCCGGTGGACATACCTGTGACTGATCTCAAGGGTTTTTCTAAACAAAGAGATAAGTGCAAATGAACCAAGATTAACACCTTGAAGGTATACGTGAAGTACCTTTCCTGGACTCAATGCCCCCCGTGGCCCGGTCTCAGGCCAGGCCTCCTGGATCAAGGCCTGATCAACCTGGCTGTTACTGCTGATCGCACGTAGTCCAGTGAACGAACCACAGCCCAGCTGATCAGACACTGATTTCAGGAACTTGTCCAGTTTCCTCTTGAAGGCCACCAAATGTTTGTTGGTAAATCCCCGTATGCATGGAGAGAGGACACTGAAGAGTCGTGGAACTCTTGACACTTATGGAATTCTCTCTCAGTGCATTCTACACTGTCCGCCAA